CATTTTCACATGGAGCTTGCATATCTTATACATGGAGTCGGCACGTCCTTATTCTTCCTAGCTTCATATTGTTCAGACCTCTAGTAACAGAGGAGATCCTTTCCTTCTGTTAAAGTCGAGCATAACTACTAATTTCCTCATTTATTTTAGCTTGTTTTATTTGATTGTATTGGTGTGATTAACATTTTATCTTTGTCTATGTGTTACGTGTTCCCTTATATGTAATGACTAATAGCTAGGCTTTGTTGGAATTCCCTTTGACCCTCATACAGTGCTATGAACACTTGCTTTTATCACATAAAAGAGAGCCGTTATTTCTTTAAAATAACAAAAAGGGCTTAAGAAACCAACTTTGTTAAGTTAGAAATATTCCTTATTGAAATTTTCTTGCAGTTGCTAATTTTGGTTTCAAATACTTTTGTCAAAACAACCACAATAGCGTTTTCTGTTCCAACTCCTTTTTTTTTTAGGTTTACATTTACAGATTTTATTATAAAATTTATTTTTTAACTTGTAAGTTCTTGAATTTATTCAAATCTTACTTTTCCCTCTAAATTTATTTAAGTTTACTTGATTTTCTTGTACTACTTCTAATACTTCATTTTTGATAAAATTCCTATTTCTTATTAAATTCAAACGGATTCAAGTCATCATTATTCAATAAACTAATTTAACTTTTACAAAACTATTTTACTTCCACACATTTCCAACTATACACATTTTTCATAAAAAATATATTTTCAATTATTGAATCTAAAGTTTTTTTAAAAAAAAGTTAGCTTTTAATAAATAATTTTTACTTTCTTACACTTAGCCTAATTAATTAGTTAAGTTCGGCCGGTTAACCATTGTTAATGGATCTTAAAGGATGCCTAACCCCTTCCCTTTAGATAAGTTGAACCCTTACCTAGAATCTCATGTTTGGTAGACCTTAAAATGAAGTTTAACTTTAGACATGACTTTAATCAATTTAGGTGTCCTAATTCACCTTAATAATTAGGTGGCGACTTCTTAAATTAGTCAATTAATTTTAGAAATCTCCAAAATGTTGTACACTATTTTGACCCGGTTAAAATGGGGTATAACAATAGGTGCAAATACTATTACTTGGAACTGGTGGAGAATTAGAATGTAAACATGTGTCACATTGGGATCCTCAGTAAATGTCGGAACGACATCCTCCACGGTGGATGAAGGCCCCGTAGTATGAATCTAATAATTAAAAGTTAATTTAATATAAAATCAAAGCATTAATAACTAATATAAATATTTTAAAATAAATAAATAATAAATAACATACACCTGTGTCACATTGGGATCCTTAGTAAATGTCGAAATGACATCCTCTAGCACGTACATGTTCAAAGAAAGGATCCCCCTCAAAAACTGGTTCTCTAAATTGTATTCCTGCCTCAAGCAATGTATCCCTAACAATCTGAGATACCTCTTCACCATGTGAAGCTGAGGCTGTCTCTCTGCCACTGTAATGCAATATTGTGCAACTTAAATAGTCCTCTAGACATTGTAATGCTAGTACCAGCGGAATGAACAAATCCCGATGGTACATCAACCTCTAATGCAGGCTTACCTATAAGCAACCTTCCATACCGCATGTACTACAATCTATACCCTGCCTCGCTAGTACCATCATCTACCTCAACCACTAAACTCTGATGTCGATTACCCCAATCACGAAAATATTTATCTAACATTTTAAGAACCTCCGGTCCATGCCTCCTACGCTGATCATGCACATGGTGGTTGGTTCCCCAACTAGGAATCACAGGTACGTGTTGGGGACGACCAAATTGACGCATTACTTTATCAGACGCGTGCACCTCAACAATCTCTAGGCAAAGCATAGGCACGCATGCCATCCATAAAGGCTCATCGACCATACAACAACGAGGCATTGTATGTACAATCTCATTATACGGTGTCTATCAAAACTATTTTTGAAATATAACAATTAGATAAAATCAACATTAACCTCTTAGTATACAAATAAAATTATTATTGATTACTTTTATATAATTTACTTTTATATGTAATTTATGTTTTTTTTTAAAAAAACTAGTAAAGAGTTGCAGAAATTATTTGATGTACCTGATCCTTCGTCATGCAGTCTAGCTGGTCTCTAATCGGGATAAGAACATGATGTGGCTCAATATCTCCTATCAGATCTACTTGCAACTGATCTCGCAATTACACGGTAATGTTATGTATCCTCACCTGACTCGCACCATCCATATCAATAGGTGCTATGGCGCATCATGTGAGTGTCTCTAATAAAGTACGCCATGGACGAATTCTCGTGCAACATTATGTATGTACACAACATCACCATCGATGCGCAAACCAAACAAGACCTGCACATCCTGCAATGTAATCGTGACCTCACCAAAAGGTAAGTGGAAGCAATGAGTCTCTGGCCTCCAACGCTCAATCATAGTTGTAACAAGGGCACAGTCATACTGCATCCTGCCCACACAAACTACATCATACAGTCTGGACCTACGTAAGATCTCCTCAACACGTCCATGAGGTCGGTGCAAATGAAATAAATTTCAGGCATCATTCATGCGCACCGTCCTCATAAGGCTACTAAATGATATCTCACCTTTCCATAACATTTCTGATTTAAGCTCATGCTGAGAGAGAAGAAGTGTACGATCAATCGATCCAGGGATTCACAACACGCTCCATTATATACTGTAAGAAAAATTCTATTAATTCCTTTAACATAATTATATCTTGACAAATTAAACCGTGAACTATCTTCAAACAAATAATTGTACGAGAGTTAAAGAATCTCTAATTTCAGTAAGTCAATTCAATGTGTTATTTGTCGAGTCAACCACAAAAAAATAAAATAAAATAAAAAATAACCAAAAGAAACATATGCCTAAAGAGAAAGAGAAATAGATCAATCATGGACTTTTGAGAGCCACATACCATAAAACACATATAAGGCTTTTTCATTTATGTTACCAAAACAAATTCTAGATATCACATTTACTGTTTTGCAGAAAATGTCATATTGTATGAACTTGAGTACAAAAATGTCAACTTTAAGGACCTACTACTCGTGTGAAATTGTCAAGCCAAAAATAAGAGGATGGATCCACCACAATGTAATCATAAGGACTCTCAATTATTAAATATATAAAAAAAACATGAGATGGAAAGGTGTAATTCAGCAGTGGCGAAACACTATTTTTGCAATACCAATTCAATAGTGTAATTCCTTTTGTTTCATTCGAATTAAAGATTATTTTTCTAACTCAATATTTAGTAATTGAATGCACATTGTATAAGACTTGCTGAAATTTTGAACAAATTACAACATCATTTCAAAGTAATGAATATGAGGTGGAAAAAAAAATACTTAATTTATATAATTTGTAGGGTCGGATTGTTGTGTTGTCGGGTTGTGTTACTCCAATCTTTCAAGATTTTGATTTTTTTAGTGTTGGATCGCTTCAGTTGTCGGATTGGGACCATCAAATTAACATCTTCGAAGTGAAAAATTGTTTGGAAGATGAAAGTGAACCATGAAAATGAAAGGGAAGAAGAAGAAAGTGAAAAGGTAAAGTAACTTTTCTTAAAGTGTAAGATTTTCTTCCACTTTACAAAGTGTAAGAAATAGTTTCATTTTACAAGGTGTAAAAAATAATTCTGTTATATATTAAAATATACACGTTATGAGACTAACGGAAAACGTTTGAAATATTGCATAAAACATAATTTTTTTCTTCCACTAAGCCTATTTTAGTTACTTACTAGAATAGTGGCTTATTTTGATAACTTTTATCTTTTTTGTGGCTTATTTAGGTTCTAGACCCATAAAATGACTTCATGTTGACCCATGTTTGACTGATTGCTTCTGTCACATGTCATCTTATGATTTGCCCATCTGTCCAGTTTGAATTTCACCCTATACATTATAAATATTTATAGATTTGTATTCATGTAATGTTGGTTTAGTTTGAACAGGTTAAAATACACCTTATCATTGTACTTCCTTTGTCCCAATTTAGGTGACGCATTTCATTTTTTAAGAGTCTTTAATTTTGATCAAGAATTTGCTCATTGAATCTTCAATTTTTTTAAAATGAAATTTATATATTTGTAAACTACGTAAAAAGTATTATAAGTCACAATTATTGACAATTCAAAATATTTAAAAAATATATGAAAATTTACGGTCAAAGATAGACTTTTTTGAAACTCGAAATTTGAATGTGTCACATAAATTGAGAAAGAGGGAGTAGTATATAAGTTAATTTCAACTTTTGAAAATTACCAAATTGGATATGTGAAGAGGTGCACCTTTTTACCTCTTTTACTTAATGTTACTTTTAGTATGCCTTGTCTGAGTCCCTCTTTTGTAAATGATAACCGGTATAATGAAATTTGGTTGAGTATAGTCCAAATGTTTTCGGTTAAAGCAAGCTTTAGAGAATTTCATAGTTATGTACGAAAAGGTTAGTCATGTTAACCTAAAAGGGAATTGATGATCTTTGTAAATTGTAAACTGTAGAAAGAACCTCCTGTCCAACTAATTGTGCATAACAATGCAATGCAAAACATGAGTGAAAACGATCCTTGAGTTTGTTATATAGAGTGGGATGTAGCTAAATGCTATAATGATATCTGTCAAAAGTATAAAACTTGCCACAGACAATTGTGAAATCATTGGATCACTGAGTAAATTCTTGTATACAGCAACTCGTTATTTTTTGTTTACACTAAAAGTACAATAAAACATGAGAGTTTTACATTCCGTCCTCGTTACTAAGAAACTAATACCAGTTTGTTTCACAGGTCATGTTCAACTCCAACAAAAAGGACATAAATGAGAAAAGGCTCAAGTTTAAATATAATTCATGTTTATTGTCTGGTTAACAACACAGCATAGTTCAAAAATTTGATTCTTTAGCACCATCTATAGGGAGATGTGGACAAGGGCGAACTGCAAGTTTCTTATTAAGTGGCGGAATCCAAGATTTGATGGAAATGACAACTGGAGTTCTCACACTCTCACCCAATGAGGACAGTCACGATACTGGTTGTACTTAATCAAAGTTGTCAATGTGTGTGGGAGTTATATCATCAGCCACGGCAAACTGTCCAACTGTTCGAGCAAAGAACATCATTTGTTGCTCCAGAGTGAATTTTATGCTTTCCGCCTGTGAAAAGTCTGGTCAGTTAGGAACTCCCAAATTCCATGCTTCAATTTGAGCATAACACTCATTTTATTACTTTGCGCAATGACAAACCACATTAAAAAGTAGCAGTAGCATCATAAAATGTTTTATCAATGTGGAGAAATGGTAGAAGTAAATACATACATGTGATGATTAGTTCTTACCTTACGAAATCCATGAGATTCTCCTTCATATTCCACGAGAGCCACAGGTAACCCCTTTTTCTTCAAGGCCTCATAGATTTTTCGGGCCTGTTCTGGCTGGACAACCTGTAAACAAATGTTTCTATTTTCCTTACAAGGTGCTTCAATAATTGTATAGTTGTTCGATACTAGTTTTTCATCGCAAAATTGAATAATACGGTTCAATTTCCTTTCTTAAAAAGAGTTTAGTTAAATAAGAATGTTACTTACTCAACAACAGCAGTTTCCTGCCATTAATAATGCAGAGTAAAATGAAAAAAAGAAAAAGCACAAGTTGCAGCAGTTTACCGTGTCTTCTAATCCTTGGAACACTATTATGGGGCAAGAGAATCGATCAACAAAGTTGATAGGGGACCGCTCATTTAAAGCGATTTCATTACCTGTATTAGGAACAACAATGTTAAATTGTGACCAAAAATAGTTGTAACTATTTAGTTGTGAATAAATAATTACCAGCTAGATTAATGATATAGTGGGATTCAAATTTGTGCATATGATCACTCAATGACTTCAAATCACCAATCTGTTAAAACAGCAGAAAGAGTGTCAGCTTGTGACCAAATTCCACCAGAACCATGTTTTCCAAACCACTCACCCCCTCCCCCAGTCCACTAGTGCAGTAGAGCATAGGAGGTAAAAGTCTGTGACAAGAGGGCTGATAAACTGAGCATAATGTAAACAGTGTTCTCCAATAAACTTTTCAGCATATTCAAAAGGAGATGCAGACATAGAACAACAACAACAACAACATACCTAGTGAGGTCCCACAAGCGGAGTTTGGGGAGGGTAGAGTGCACACATACCTTACCACTACCTCGTGGAGGTAGAGAGGCTATTTCCGAAAGACCCCCGGCTAAAATGCAACAAATCCAAGTACAAAAAAGAAGAAAACAGTGCAGAAATCATAGAAACTAAACATTGCATAGCCTACAAGAAAGGACATAGAGAATCAAGTAACTGCAATTAAATTAAGCCAGTTATTCCCAAGGAAAACAAACATTAGTAAATATGATTAACCATCACTTAAACTTCAAATTATGCCATCTCATTGTCCTTTTTCCCGTTTTATCCTTTAGATACGCTCGCATGATGGTTCATGGAGTGAAAGCATTTTACTTCGGCTGAGCCTAGCACTAGTATACCATAATAACAACCATGCGCTCCTTAATACTAGATTGATGTTGCATATTGACTTACTCCAAATAAAGAAGCGCCAGCTCTGAATGTATCTCTGAAAGCAAGAGAAGCTAATGTTGTGTAACCGCCAGCAGAACACCCAGTTATGCAAAGGCGCTTTCCATCAACCTTCCCCTCATCCACCTAAATCAACAAACTAGTTAAAACTCTTAACGTAAAGAAATGAGAAAAATTAACAATTAAGGGCAAGTGACAATTTACTTTTAACTTACCAAATATTCAGCACAAGAGCAACAATCATTGATGTCAACGATTCCCCACTTCCCCAAAAGGCGTTCTCGGTATGCCCTGTCATAACCTTGAATTCAAATTTATGAAAACTTAGTTATCTTATATAGAGAGAGGGACAAGTAAACTTTAAAACCTTAATGGAGTGTAATGTATCTGAACTTAATGGACTGAAATATAGGATAAATTTGGAAAGTTTATGCACAGTAGATAAGATACAGCAGAATTGGATAACCAATAAACAATAAATGAAAAGTTTGTCCGGATCCAAGAAATATAGAAGTTAATAAAATAAATTGCTCAACCTCTGATAACATACCCGTACTTCCTCCATAGTTAACATCCACAAATGCCCATCCTCGACTAGTCCAATATTGGATGCTAAGATTTAAAGTTCCATGTGCCTCGTCTGTTGGCCCTCCTGTAACACACATGAGCAACAGTCCAAAATCGGTTAACCTTGCGCATACTCGGAGTGAATAGAAGATTAATGAAGCAGTTACTCGTAGCATCTTTGGAAGTTTCCATCTCTCTGTTTATGTTGGCTATATTCCTTGCTTGAACCAAACAAGAGATATTATGAAACCAAACCACAGAATTGAATTTTAATAATCTGGAGTCATTCACTGTATTCGAGCTCAATTGAGGAAGTGCTGTAAGGTGTAAGTACGCTCTTTCATATGACAATTACGAACAGCAAATGGCTTACATAATTTCCACATTTTAATGATCAAACTATGAGCTAGAAGTAAATGTGGTTATTATTTTAAACAAGTCTTCATATTGCTACCGAATTTTATATATAAATGAATCATATGCACATTTAGAATCTGGAAACTATCAACAAAGCTAAATAGAGAAATGAAGTGATCTTGCCATTGAGATGATAAAATCAGTCTCACCATGAAGCAACATAATGGTTGATAAGGATAAAAGAGAACAGAATTATCTTCTCACTTGGACACACAGAAAAGACACACACACACACTTATCTGGATAGCCCTGTATTCACAATACATGTGTGTATCTACATGAGCATGTGTGCATGCGCGCGCTCTCAATGGTTAGTAGACTTGTAGAAAGGTCAGCCTTTGGAATATGTTCTGCCAGAAAACAGCTAAGAAGACGACAAGCATTTCCCTTTACACTAAGCCACTAACTATTGAAAAAGAGAGACTTTTCAGTACGAAAAGAGAAGAAAAACGTTGTATTTCCTTTCATTGACAGCTCCATTCATGACTCTTATTTTGAAGATGTGAAACTGGCCAACAGCATTGCCATGTAACAAGCTTTTAATGTACAATGCCTAGTACCTTAATTTTTCAGCGCTTCAATCAATGTCATGGAAAACTAAATTAGTACCTGGTGCATAATGAATATGACTTTAAGGAATTACGAATCATATACCATGGCTTTCTAGCAACAGTGGAGGTTTTTCTTCTTGACTACCATTGTATTCTGGATTACACGGAGGATAGAAGTATGCATAGGCAATTTGACCAGCCACATCTGTTGGAAATTCAATAAACTCCGGGCGGCTAAAATATGGTATGTACTTGTCAATGTCTGAAGAAGATGACCACATGATACTGAAATCTACAACGTTTGACATACGATCATCTAGTATCACCTGTTGCAAAGTGTGGAATTCATTAAGTCAAATTGTGGAAAATAGTTATTTGAAAAAGACACCGTTACAGAAAAGAAGAGATAACCTTTGCTAAAGAAGTAGGAAGAACAGAAGATGCACCCTCAATGTAAAGGATCTGTCCACTTGCGACCTAAACCAACATTTTAAGCAGATAGTTACACTTTCTGAATGTTACACCAATAAGAAAATCAACAATATAAGCTGCAACTCACAATATTTGATATATAAGTGAATGGAATGTCAACTGAACAGAAAGAGTTCTTAGCTTGATTTATAACACCAAGATATGACTTTCCATGTTGCCTGCAAGCCATCATGGATGAAAGCGATTTTATTAGACATGTCAACTTAACTTGAAGAAAGGCTGGGGAAACAATGAAACAAACTGTGATGCCATTGCAGTGGAGAGAGAGACCTGTAGCTGCAAGCAATAATTGTTGATTCCTCTTTCCGCTCAATGATGTCATAACATCGATTTCCAAAAACCCAAAATGGTCTTGTGAACTCAGCGTTCAAAGAGTAAATTGCAAGGACCTCATTTTTATCTTCAATCTGATGTAGAAGTAATAAAAAAAGATGAACTATCAACCAACACCAAGAAGTGCATAATTCGCAAAACTCTTGAGGTGTAGTGTATTTACCCATTTGTATATGTTCCAAAACCCTGTATTTCTATCTGTTATGAAAAATAGTTCCCCTGCAATAATTAAAGGAGGCCACTTCAGATATTCAAAGTCATATTGAAGGTGGCAGTTATTGTGCTTTTGGAATGGGGAGTAAACAGCAGAATATTAGAACTTATCCTGCCTTTGGACGACCATAGAGGCTCAGTTGGCGATTCCACCAGAGTACGACAGCCACCAGCAACTACTACTCGCTTCTCGATGTCTCTATATTAGTTAATTCAACCAATTGTTAACAACTTATAGCAAAATTGGATTCAATGTGCATGAAAACAAAAGGAGGGAGAACATCTGACTAGCAATGTGGAGAACGTTGTCATTATCTCTAATAAAGAGAGGATGTAAGACGACTTTCTATAATCAGTAGAGAGAATGTAAGAAGACTTACTCACCCGCTCTCAGATATATACCCGACCCAAAGCTCTGCTTTATCCCAATGCATGTTAGGGTGGCTCCATTCTATCCAGGCCAAACGTTCCCCTTTTAGATCCATCCGTGGGAATGCATAGAAGTCATTCCCACTAATCAAGACTTTTGGTTCTGAAATTCATAAATAAAAGCAGAAGCAGAAATTCATTTACATTCTCCATTTTAACATGATAGATCAATTGATTCACAATTACCTCAAAGCCTTTGCAACTTACAATTTACATACCTTCAGTGGTGTTATCATTTAGGACCACACTCACAATCTCATTAGTTGGCTTTGCGTCAACCCCTCGATGATCTATTTGTAGATAGAAAAGAGCAAGAATATACAGTTACAGCGAACAAGACTGTAGAGAAAATATCCTTTCCAGAATTATTTAAACAAAACATGTTGTGATTATAAGTAAAGATATATGTACCTTCTCTTACAGCAATATAACGGTTCAAACGACCATCAAAGACCCCATCAGCATATCTTACATGAGGTCCCGCATAATCTGGAGTTATCGGCACTGGACCTGAATCTATGATTAACAAATTATCAATTCAATCTGCCCTATCACTCAACTTCTGTGAAATTTAATAGACTTGCTACTTCATCACTTCAGTTCATCACGGTATTTTTCTTTTTCTATTTCTTATTTGAACTGTTGGGCCAGGAATTTAGGGTTTTGGGGAGAATTGAACTGCTGAGTATGGATAGAGTAGAGAATAGGGATTTCAAACAAGAAGTTGTTATTGTGGTGGGAGTAGTTGTTTAGAGTTCTCTATTATTGTGGGATTGTTGCGTCATGCCTCTTTGAATAATAATTTCCAACAACTTTAGTAGTTGTTGGAACAAATCAATAATTGTTTAATTTTTATCTCATGTGTATGTAGACAAATGAGCCATACACGTGAAAAAAAGAACTAGGACATCTTCAGCTCCTTCTAGCAAAAGACCTTGCTGACCATGCAAACAAAGATGAGCTCTCAGTTCAGGCTCCGGCAACCGAAGAAACAACAATTTAGGAGTCGGAAAATGGTGAGGTGCCGGCTGGAGAAGAAGAAAGACATGCAATTATTTGTAAAATCCAACTGGACAACAAGAACGAAATGAGAGAGAAGTAGTTGATACATCAGTTGTGGATCCGACGATGATCTCCAAAAGAAGAAGCAACAGATCAAATGACGATGAGGATGCACAGTCATTTATAGGGACTGACATTGATGATGCAATTAGTACCGACAATGATCTCGAGAGTCTTTTGGTTCCTGAATCTGTCAAGAGCATTGACATTAAAAAGTATGGTAGAAGAATATGTTGCTGCTTCTTAGCTTGATCAACACCCTATTCTTGTAACACTAGAAAAACAATTTATCTCCTTGCAAATCCCCATGATTTTCCTTTACAACGGAGGGAATGTTACGGATATGTTCTAGGAAAAGGTTTTAAGGAATTCAGAGAAATGTCGAGGGATCATCGCAATGAAATGATTTAAAGGGAAGTAGTTTCGTGCAATTCTTAGATCTGAAGCTGTACGGTTCTCAATGAGATTATTGCATGATCTTCTTTACTGGACTTCTGCAAGAAAAACAAGGAGTTTTTGTGCAGTTACAATGGCATGCCCTGCTTGTATTAGCAAGAACGAATTTGTCCTCATAATTTGGACTCCGATGACATTCTCCTCCCCCTATGAGAATGGGAAATTAGCTTTAGCACAAGTGGAGGGTAAGAGATTATTGAATCTAGTGGGAAGTGTGTTATGCTGTTGTGATCCTTCAAAAGATCGATGATCCAACATTCAAATAAAGGCACATAGCTTCCCTGAGCTTGGTTTGCTTCTTGAACAACATTGTGTGTGTAAAAGATGTAAACAAGGTAGTTGAAGATGATTGGATCAGATTAACATAAAGAAGAAATTCTATCATGCTATCAAACAAGCTAGGACCTCACCGTTGAATATCTACTGAAAGAATTGAAACCAACCAAAGCCACTTATAACTTCTATGGCTTCCCATCAGCGTTTGTGGTAACTAATTACAATGTTATTTTGAGTTCAATAATCATTTTGCTTTTATGTTGTACTAATTGCATTTTACTCATCACACAATATAGGCTTTGACATTTAAAGCTATTCCGCCAATTTGATGAATGGCGAAGGATGCTTCAACTGCGAATCCCCCTTTTCCAAGGGAATGGAGGGCATCAATCTTCAACCCTAGAATAGCTTCTACTCTTTTGTTAGCTACTACACTAATACTGTTCCATTGAAAAGCTTAACACTTCGATTCTATTTTGTATAATTAGTTTAATAGTACATAAAATTATTAATGGATAGCTAACCTGAAGAAGTGAGAGTCTGTTTGTACAATCTCTGGTCATCAAAATTGGAGAAAACAAGTACATCTCCAGAAACCCCAAAAGATCCACCACCATATTCATGAACAGTGTTTCGAACATTGAAGTCTTTTGGTGTAATATCTTCCCCTGATTCTTTAACAAGCACAGCTCGTCCAGACTCAGCAGGGCGAGTCTCCAGCCATATTAAGTGGCCATGAGAGTCTACATTGAAGCCTTCAAGGCGTTTATCGGAACCCGAGACGATATCGGCAGTGATTGGTGACTTCCATGACCCATATGAAGCACTATTTTTTTCACCAGTAGCCATAGTATCTTCAATGATCTAAAGGTTAAATGAAGTGAAGTAGCTCCTAATTCTTATATGGGGATCAAACAGAACAACATATTCGAGAAAAGGACCAAAATTGTCCCTTGAATTTGCCTTAACACTCAAAATGATCCTCAACTTTTCATAAGGAGCACCAATAGTCCTTCTTCTTTGTAAAAATGGAGCAGTTTTAGTCTTCCTAACTTTTTCTGTCAATTTACAACGTTTAGCTTCTTTTGTCCATTCATTAAGTAACAGTGAAAGTTAATTATCAAGGTCACCAAATGAATTAATTTTGATTGGCACGAACCATTGTATTATTGGCTCCATTTATCCATTTACAGATATACTAAAAAAATTACTTAGTTTCTCACTTGATGTCGGGATATCCATAATGGAATCTAGCTATGTTAGAATCGCATCGCGTAGGGCTCCATTTGATTTGCATACCCAGGGTTAGAATATGAAACCTTTGGTTATGAGAGAAGCAACTTCATCTACTACACTACATCTTTTAGTTGTATAAATATACTAAATTCTTTGTCTAGAATTTCAGAAACACACTTCATGTTTAAAACAAGAGCTTGTTAGTATCAATTAAGCATAAAATTATAATTATTATCGGGTTATGGTTACTCGTAAAGAAAAAACATAAATCGTCGTAGAATTGATAATTCAAAAAAAAAAATCTAAACCATTACCAAATTGTTACCTTTTTGAACGGTGGATCATTCAGAAACAATTTTATATCTGTAAAGGTATGTAAGATGTGTGCATACTCTATTCTTTTCATATCCCACTTATGAAACTAAACTTGATATGCTATTATGTTTACCAAATTATAAATTTAATAAATCATTATGGATAAACCAATAATATTTTGCCAATTTGAATCATTAATTTTGATTGTGTTTAATTTTAAGAAACCCTACCAAAGGATTGGAGACAACACTAACATAATTATATAAATAATTCTACTCATAATAAATTATTTATTTAATGCATGACGCACATGTAAACGACTTTCATTAGTGCTCCATATAAAATGATAAGGATCATTTTGAGTCTTAAGGTAAAGATAAGCGACAATTTAGTCCTTAAAGTGGCTTTGATAGAGAATAATAGTTAAAGGTGACAAAAAGTTTCAAAACTAAGAAAATTTGATATATATATTTTTTAAATTATTAAATAGAAGTGATTAATTTAAGATTATTGTTAATGATATTAATTTTAATATTTTATTTACACAAAAATCTTATATATTTTCCCCTCTCTCCCCTATCCTCTCAACGTGGCAAAAATCACTTTCTCATGAATAATTTTCATAGAGAGTTCCTAATTATGAGACCTAAATATATCAACAAGATATAATTGGTATTATTAAATATTAAATTAAACTTATAGCGTGCTTCTTGAAACTAATAAGTAAAAAATATTAATAAAGACAGTTTAAACATCATTAACTATTGAAACTGGATCAATTATTTTTCTGTAGATTTGTATAACATGTGAGTCTACATAATATGTGAGGAAAGTTAGAGTTTCTTTTAAGCTCTTTATCACTTTTAAATTGATTTTCGTTATGTAGGAATCAAGAAAATGTAAGAGCAACTCAACAAAATTGATAACTAAAATCAAACGTTAAAATAATGCCCAAAGATAATTAATTTTTTTTTTATATATCTCATGTGATTTTCTTAAATTCTTTTTATAAAAATAATATCCCAATTAACTTTTATATATTTGATTATTTATTTAATTATCTACCCTTCTCATCATTAAAGTTATCTATAAACAAGGGTTCAACAATACTTTTATAAGAAGCATCCACATTCAAAATGACATTTATAAGTTCTCATCACCTAATTCTTCTCACTATCCCAATTTTGTACTCCCTCCATTCTATATTAACTTAAGCTTTGAGGTGTTTCACACCCTTTAAAAAAGTAGGTTAGGACATAAATTGAACATAATTTTCCATTTTTACCCTTATTAATTATTGTCAAAAATAACTAAACATTAATTATAATAACTAATTCCAATACTAACTTAAAGGGTAAAATTGGAAGAATATTTTAAAAATAGTCTTGAAGATTGAAAACTTAAGTTAATTTGAAAAATGAAAAATGGCTTAAAGCTTAAGTTAATATGGAATGGAGGAGTACTACTAACTAATAGATGTTAAAATAAATACATATATTAAGAATGATTCAAGTCTATTTGAAATTGAATAATAATTTGGTGCCTTTTAAAAAAAAATTATATGACCACATGGTATAATTTGATCCATTGTTAATAAACAATAATTAATTCAATATCGTCTGTATGTTTCTATTATCAACATCATCATCAAATATTGTTCTCCTTTTCCTCCACATATAGCGTATTTATATTATATGATTCAAGTATTTAGCTAAATAATATCTATCTTTTCTTCTAAATAACATCTGTCACACTTAAATTAAAAAAGAAGCATATATCTTTTCTTCTAAATAACATCTATCATACTTAAATTAAAAAAAGAAGCATATATCTTTTCTTCTAAATAACATCTATCACACTTTAATTAAAAAACAAGCATATATATATATATATATATTATCTTTTTATTAATAATATTTATAATTATATGAAGTAATTATAAATGAGGCCTTCATTGCTGTAAGCCCCACTTGCTTTATTTCTCAAAATTAAGATGTTTGAATATTAAAAAATCACATATAAATATTAAAATGTGTATTAGAATTAAGTCGTTTTAATCTAAATATGAAGATGTTGTATTAAAATTTGAATGTGAAATAATTAAAATTGCTTTTTTTTTTTTTTATATATATATATTTATTTGAGTATTAACAAATATGAAGTTGATAAATACGAATTAATCTAATATTGTATCAACTTTTAAAAAATATATAGTAATTGGTGGGAGCAATGGCTTACGATGATTGTGACTTTGTGAGTGCAAGTTGGCGGTTGATAATAGATAGTAATGATGACGGTAATTAATAATAGTGATTGATTGTTATAATAGCAATGATGATTGGTAATAATAATTATAGGCTACTAATGGTAACAATCAACTATAATGAATGACGATAATTGTGGATGGTGATGAAGATGGTGGTCATGGATAGTGGGGGCAGAGTCGATAATAGCGGGGACACCATAGTCGCTGGTGATTAGCCATGAATAGTGAAATACATCTCTACAAAAAACTTCCAAGAATAACATTTAAATGATATTAGATTTTTGTTATAATCTTCATTTATATTTATTTGAAATCATTAAGTCGTTATAAAATAATAATAATAATAAAAAAACGTAAATGTTTGAGATTTAAATGCTTAATGTTAATACCTAAAACAGATACTTAATAATTGAAATATAAATAACTAAGATCAAGACCTTCATTAGTGTATAAAATGAAGCCATAGCGGCCTTATAGATTCACTTATAGTTCTTGTGACATCATACATGACAATTTGTGTTATACGTGTGGAATTTTACGTGTATTATGCCACATAGGACGTATGTGTCTACTTATTTAATTTTATGCAAATTTAAGTGTGTGCTTGTACACATTAAAAATTAAAGGACATAGATACCTGAAGTAAGTTAAATGACATATTCATGTATCATGCCAATTTATTTTCTTGGGGCAGACTCATATATAACAACCTGTCATTCATTAGAAAAAAAAAAAAACACAACTACCACCCAAAATTATTTATTTAAAGGATGTATTTATTCAAATTATTGTGTATAAATTATTATGTTTCTTGTCGAGCCGGCAAACAACTAGCAAAAAAGACGTTTGCAACAACTTTGAGAAGATTTTGGTGTAGACGAAGAAAGTAACTTTGTAAAGAGCATCTCAACGATGGATGATCTTGTAATTGGTGCTACCATTAAAGTTGTTCTTGACAAACTGCTTTCTCTCACTATTGAGGAGGCCAAAAGTTTAAACAATTGCAAGAAAAATCTCAAAATACTACCAAAATATGTATCCATGATCTAAGCTCTGATTCATGATGTTGAAAGACGACAAGTTGATGATCAGGCTGTTGAAAAATGGCTTGAGATGCTTGAGAGAGTTGTTGAAGATGCTGAAGATGCTGAAAATGTGTTCGATGAATTCAGATATGAATCTCTCAAAGCACAAGTGATGAACATCCGAGCCAAACTAATCCAAAATATCTGTAACTTCTTTTCTCATACTGCTTTTAAGTATAAAATGTTTGGAAAAATCAACAACATCAATGAAGAGTTGAGGGCTATCAATAATTTAGCTAACGATCTTGGTCTCCAATCACTGATGGTTCCTTCCCGGCAAATATTACCAATTCGAGAAACATATTCTGTAGTAGTTGCTTCAGATGTTATTGGTAGAGACATGGATGTTGCTGAAATAAATGAGAAGATTTTGAACATGAGAAGGGATGTTGTTCTGTGCACCATTCCCATAGTGGGTATGGGGTGGGGGGGGGGGTTAGGGAAAACTACTGTGGCTAAGAGAATTTTCAACGACGAACACATCAAACAACAGTTCGAAAAGAGAGTTTGATTGTGTCTACATGAAATGTTGGAAACAAAGAGCTTCTGATCCTCGAATCACTGACAAAGAGCTTCTGATCCTCGAATCACTGACAAAGAGGAAAGTTGAGGTTCAAAGCAGAGATGTAATAGTCAAGACACTACAAGATGCATTGGGAAAAAAAAGTATTCGCTTGTCTTGGATGATTTGTGGTGTATTAACTCTACATCATGGCATGAGTTCATGGACAACTTGAGAGGAATCAATACATCCAGAGGAAACTGCATTCTCGTGACTACTCGTATTAAACAAGTGACATCCACAGTAGCAGTAGATCTTCATATGTTGGGAAGATTGGCAAGAGACCATTGTTGGTCCATTTTCAAACAAAGAACATTTGTTGATGGGGAAGTTCCAGAGGAAGTAGTGAGCATGGAGAACGGGATTGTTGAAATGTGTCAAGGTCTACCACTGGCTGCAAGTGTATTGGGAGGCCTCTTACGCAACAAGGAAAAACATGAATGGCATGCGATTCTTGACGACAACCCCCTTGTTGCAGGTGAATATGATAACGGGGAAAATAGCTTAAAGAAAATCCTAAAACTCAGCTATGATTATCTACCATCTCCATATCTGAAAAAGTGTTTTGCTTACTTTGCCATTTTTCCAAAAGATTTTGAGTTTGAAAAAGATCAACTAATCCAATTCTGGATGGCAGAAGGTTTTCTCCGTCCATGTCAAGAGGCCCCTGTGATGGAAGACGTTGGGAACAAGTTTTTTCAACTTTTATTGCAAAATTCCTTGCTGCAAGATGTTAAGCTAGATGAGCAAGAGAATACAACACACTGTAAGATGCACGATCTTGTGCATGATTTGGCTAGAGATATCTTAAAATCTAAACTATCTGATCCAAAGAGCGTTGGACGAGAAAATTTTTCTCAAGTTCGATACTTTGGATGGGACTCACCAAAGGATCAAATAGATAGGATAAATGAGCCAGAACGTTTGTGCAGACTATTCTGGAGAAGCAATTATGTGTCTGAAGATATACTATTGAACTTTAAGTTCTTGAGAGTTTTAAATTTGTCCAGTTCAGGAATCAAGGTGTTGTCAGCCAAAATTGGCAAGCTAATATACTTGAGATATCTTGATCTCTCCGACACCAAGATCAAAGTCTTGCCCAAACCCATTTGCAAGCTCTACAATTTGCAAACATTTAGAATTAATAGTTGTTTTTCACTCAAGAAGCTTCTAGAAGAAATGACAAATATGATAAGTTTGCGACATATACATTTCAACTATCATTACCAATCAAATCTTTATTTTGCGGTTTGGGGATCAAGGTTTATTGATCAGTTTCAGATGCCACTTAATATGGGGCAATTGACAAGTCTTCAGACGCTACCGTTTTTCTACCTAGGTTTAGAGAAAGGTCGTCAAATAGAAGAATTAGGTCGTTTGAAAAACCTTAGAGGTGAATTGACCATCAAACCTCTCCAGTTAGTCGTAAAGAAAGAAGAGGCTCGAACAACATATTTGCAGGAGAAATCAAATATCTACAAGTTGGCATATTTATGGTCCCATGATGAATCAGAAGACTGTGAGATCAATGATGAGCATGTGTTAGATGGTCTTCAACCACATCCAAACTTGAAAACCTTAACAATAGTGGACTATTTAGGAACTAAATTTCCTTCATGGTTCAGTGAAGGATTGCTACCAAATTTGGTAGTGTTGAAATTAAGTGGTTGCAAGAGGTGCAAGGATATTCCATCGCTTGGCCAACTGAAGTTCCTTCGGCATCTTCAGTTGATAGGATTCCTTGAATTGGAATCCATCGGACCAACATTTTATGGTGTTGATGTTAATGATAGTGGATCAAGCAGCAATAATCTCAATATCCAAATGTTTCCATCATTGAAAGAACTAGTGTTGAAGAATATGCGTAATCTTATTGAGTGGAAGGGAGATGAACTTGGAGTAAGAATGTTTTCTGGGCTTGAGAAGTTGAAGTTTACAAAGTGTCCACTGTTAAAAATTACTCCAAGTCAATTTGAAATCCTCTGTGAACTAAGCATTGAAGGAGTTAACAGTGAAATGCCATTGTTGAACTTGTTTAACAACTTGACATCTCTCGTAAAGCTAATTGTGGATGATGTGAAAGAGCTCACATGTCTTTCTGATGAGATGCTACACAATAACGTTTCTCTTCAACACCTGTTGGTCTCACTCTGTAGAAAGTTTCATGAATTGCCCCAAAACTTGTACAATCTCCATTCTCTTAAGAGCTTACGAATATCCTTCTGCCCCTATTTCAGTTCTTTTCCTGTTCCCACTAGAGATAATTATTTGACTTCCCTCCAAAGTCTTGAGTTATGTCATTGTGATAGATTGACCAGTTTACCAAATAGAATGTTAAATCATTGTCTGTCTTTGGTATCCTTGAATGTCATCAATTGTAACAATTTGGTTCCCTTCTTTTTACCCGCACGAGGCCTTCATCGCCTGGGGATATTGCAAATTGATCCTTTCTCAGAGATGGTGGATTTTGAGGCATTCCAATTGATTTTTAATGGCATTCAACAACTGTTATCCCTTCGTACATTGGAGGTGCGGGGACACTTGCACTGGGATTCTCTTCCCTATCAGCTTATGCAACTTTCTGACCTAACAGCGATCCAAATACATGGATTCGGAATTGAGGCTCTTCCTCATAGACTTCACAACCTTACTTCTCTTGAAAGATTAACACTAGAGAGGTGCAAACGGCCACAACATCTGGACTTCTCAGATACCAGGCCCAAATTACGGTATGTGGTGATCCGTAATTGTCCATTGTTAGAAGCTGTCTCAGATGGGCTTGGCAATCTTGTTTCTTTGCAAGAGTTAAGTTTTTAGAACTGCGAAAAATTAGAGAATCTGCCATCCAGAGATGTCATGCTATGCCTCACTAAATTATGGAACCTGCGAATTGTGGCTGCCCACTGTTAGAAGAAAGTTGCATCAATCGGAGTGGCCCAAACTCCCAGTGGTTCAGCATTTCCCATATTCCAAAAAAATTAAAATAGGCGGGAGGAATATTCACCATCTGAATTGATTTTTTAAATATTATTTTCCATGAATTCCAGAAAAGAAGTTTTGTATGTAATTTAATATTTTTTTCCTACAATTATTTTGACATTAAAATATACAAAATTAAGAATCAATTGCATATGTGCTATACTTTCAACATTCTGCTTGTCCTATCCACTTCAACGAATTGTTCTTCTTCGAATTCTTCAAGCTTCTAGAAGAAATCAACTTCTCGTTTCCTTTCAGGGAATTTGAATCCCATGTACTCAAAGAGCTCTAAGATGTTTTCATGTGAACGTTGGGAAACAATTTATCCATCTGATAGAAGAACTATGTCATCGAATTATTAAGTTATAAGTTTCTGGTGCAGGCTGCAAGACTGAGATCATAGTAGTTCCTTGAAGAATGTGGATTGATTGCCTGATTGAATTCACTATCTGAAATGTTGTTGAACTATCTAAGCCATGTTGAAATCTCATCGTTGAATAGTGCTATAGCTGGTCCAATCGTCATCTCCCCTGTAGGATATGTTATCATCAAATATTTAGAACCTCAAAGTACATTAATTTATTCCCTCAACCATTAGTTACTGTAGTTAGGTTCTGGATTATCTGGTTTTGCTCTAACTTGCAGTAACTCGCTTTTATTGTCCACCTGAAATGCCATTGCCTCCAAACATTCATCTCCAACGAGGGTATCAACACAAATGCCAAGTCACAATATCTACAAAATTTGTAGAATGAAACATTGTATTGTAGGAAACATTTCTTCATTGAACTTGTAATTCAGGAAATAACATCTTACCTTGAGATTATAGTCTGTTACAACACTAGCATCCTGCCCTTCTATTGAAGCTGCCTGTTGGACAAAAAACCAATAATCGAGTCATTTCTAATCAAAATTGACAAAGAGAAAGAGTATGACTGAATATTCTATTGAGACGTCTTTACCTTCATAAAGATTTCAACATCAGGATCATGCTTAATGTTTGCTTCCTTCTCTATCATAGATAGCTCAGCTAACATTTCCACATATCTTGATATGATTTAATCATGAAATTTATGTTTTTTTTTTATAGATGACTAGTTCCAAGGTCATGCTAGAACAAGCCAAATCCCATGAGTAGCAGGCAATCACGTTAGGTAAGTTTTCATTTTAGAATCAAGTCAAATCCCATGATATGATTTAATCATGAAAATTTATGTTTTTTTTCGTTCCTTTTTTCTCATGATACAAATTTAACGAGGTTTGTTATGTTTTACTAAGGAACCAACACATTTATTTTGTATGAAGAACAAAATCTTTAGCTGTAGACTCATTATGGGACACATTCATGAGTATTTGGGTTCTGACAACCATTTCCAAGAGCTGAAGTCTACACTGTGTAACTGTTTATTGTGTAAGCTGTTAGGAAGAGATACATTAGTTCGGTTGATTTGGTGTTTCTTTCCATATAATTCTTCTTTCCTTTTTCCTTTTGCCACAACTTCAGTCCATATAATCTAGTAGTTTAATTGATGATAGGGGTGGCAATTTTTGCCCTTGAGGACACAAATGAATTGACCAGTTTGCGGGGTATCCGTCCATTAGGTTGAAGGTGTCTCTACTCTGATTTTTGAATCAAGATTTCCATTTAAGATCCAAAATGAAGCATAACTAACTGTCTATCTATTACAGTAATTTGGAATTCAAAAGTTAGTTGACAAAGTTAGTTAAACATTGTTAAGCTACAATAATCAGTGTAGTGGTAGTTAGTTAGATGTTAGTTGTAACTGATTTGTGTTAGATGGAATAAGTCAGTCAAGTTCTTTATAAATAAACATTGTAATCATCAGTTACATTCATATATGGAATATACAGAATTCTCTTTCTCTTTCTAATCTCTTTTTCTATTCTTCTTCTTCTTCTTCTTCATTACTAACTATTTTCTCGAGAAATCCTAAAACAGTGCTTCGATCCTCGAATTCATTGTGAATTCCTGCAATCGAGTAACATTGTTATCAGAGCTACTCTATCCTTGGATTTTAATGGTGAAAGAAACAAGATATGCTGATAATTCTCCAATAGAAATGGGGAATTGAAGGAAATTATGCAAAATTTGGCAGAAAAAATAGGAACGTTGGCAGGGGAAGTTACAAACCTGAAGAGATTGGATCAGGTGGTCATGGAATTGAAGGAACATTTGGTCACTAATCGAGAATCTGGGAGGGAGAAAATTCCTATAGAAGATGGTCTTTCAACTGCAAGACATTCTAATGAGAGAATTCACCACTCTGAAGGGAGAAGTCACAGACCCAAGAGTCCTACCAGTTACAACACCCATCATTCAAACTTCTCAAGACGGTCCTGAATGGAATTCCTCAGGTTTGCAGGGAAGATCTGAGATCGTGGTTGTTTAAGATTGAGCAATTTTTCTCCATGGAGAATGTAGCTGCAGAGGAAAAGGTAACAGTAGCTACAATGCAACTGGAAAGAGAAGCCATCCAATGACATCTTTCTTTCATGAGATACATACAGTATTTACAACCAGCTACTTGGAATGAGTATATGATGGCTATGGTGGAGAGATTTGGGACAGATTTTGATGATCCCATGGAGGAAATCACGAAGATCAAACAAGTGGGGAGTGTTAAGGAATATCAATCAGTGTTTGAAAGACATCTGACTAGGGTGAATTTGTCACAAGAGAATGCAATCAGTTGTTTTTTATTGGAGGGTTAAAACATGAGCTGAACATTGCTTTGAAGATCACCAATCCACATCTTTATCACAGGTATACAGGACTGCAAGAATGCAAGAAGCATACTTAACTGCTGTGAGACAGCCAATATCTAATCAGTCTTAGATGGGTGCAAAAAGATTCATGGACCAAAGGATTGGTAACAATAAGCCTCTGTTATCTACACCTGGTACACATACTTCTAGTTTTTCTAAGGCAGTAAATAGAAGAACTTTGAGCATAAAGGAGATGAATGAAAAAATGGCAAAGGGGTTATGTTACTTTTGCAATGAAAAGTACATGCCTGGCATGAGTGTAAGAATTCCAAGCAGTTGTATCTGTTGGAAGTGGAATAATTAGAAAAAGGGCAGAATTCAATGCAAGAACAAAGTGGAGAATTACAAGAGGAACATAATGAACAACTAGAGTGGGGACCACCTGTGGAACACATAGAGATTTCTATGCATGCGTTAAATGGGTCTTTGGGATTCAGAATCTTGAAGGTGACTGGTTATCACTCAAAAATGGCATTACACATATTAATTGATACATGAAGTTCTCATAACTTCATTGATCCTAATCTGGTCAAGCAATTGGGGTGTGAAGTGAAGTCTATTAAACCTAAGATGGTAGCCGCAGCAAATGGTAGCATTCGGGTGGACAAGATGACGTCTGTGACATGGTTACTACAATGAGAGGAGTTTTCTGCTGATTTTCTATTATTACCTTTAGGTTCTTGTGGAGTTGTGCTGGGCGTCCAATGGCTATAAACGTTGGGTGATATCAAGTTGAATTTCAGAAATTTAACAATGGAGTTTTGGTACAAGGGAAAGAAGCATTTACTCAGAGGGTCTGACAGTCAAGTGTTAACTCCTAGTGCTGGAAAACTGACCAAACACTCCAGAAATCAGTATCAGCTTTGTATGATTCAATTAATTCCTCAGGGAAGTGATGAAGACAAGTGGCATCCATTAGAAGTAGCACCTGATATAGATCTTGAAGAGGACCCTGCACTACTAGAGGTATTGTCAGAATTTTCTGCATTATTTAAAGAACTTGTTGGTTTACCACCTTCTAGAGGTGTATTTGGTCATAGGATTGTGTTGCATTCTGGAGTTGAACCTTTGAATAAGAGACCTTATAGATATCCTTCAGTGAAAATGGATATTATTGAGGGTCTTGTACAATAAATGTTGGATCAAGGGATCATTCAACCTAGTTGCAGTCCTTTGACATCACCAGTGGTATTAGTAGGCAAAAAGGATGGCACCTGGATACTATGTGTAGACTATAGAGACTTGAATAAGTTAACTATAAAGAACAAGTTTCCAATCCCTATTGTAGAAGATCTATTAGATGAACTAGGAGGATCCAAAATATTTTCTAAAATAGACTTAAGGTCTGGATACCATCAACTAAGAATGGCAAATGAGGATGTGCCTAAGACTTCTTTTAGAACACACTCGGGACATTTTGAATACTTAGTCATGCCTTTTGGTTTATCAAATGCCCCAGCTACATTTCAAGGTTTGATGAACATTGTGTTCCAGAATTTTCTAAGTTAGCATGTCTTGGTGTTTTTTGATGACATACTAATATATAGTAGAACTATGTAGGAAAACATATTACATCTGAGGTCTGTTTTTTTGAAAATTGTGGAGCATCAACTATTTGCCAAGAAAAGCAAATGTTTCTTTGGTGTCCATAGAATTGAATACCTTGGTCACTTTATCACATCAGAAGGTGTTTATACCGATCCTTAAAAGATCCAAGCTGTGAGGGATTGGCTTGTCCCAACTACTCTTAAGCAATTAAGGGGTTTTATAGGCTTGGCTGGTTATTACAGAAGATTTATACACGGATTTGAAGTTATTTGTAAACCTCTTACTGATCTAACTAAAAAAGATAAATTCAAATGGCACCACACAGCTCAGGAGGCATTTTTGCAATTAAAGAAAGCTTTGACTTAATCTCTTGTATTAGCTTTACCTGATGCCAACAAAACTTTCATAGTTGAAACTGATGCTAGTGGTTATGGAATTGGTGTTGTTCTTATGCAAGAGGGACATCCTATAGCCTTTATTAGCAAGGCATTATCTCCAAGACA